AACTGTTGTGAAAAATGCTGCAGTGAAGTGCAGATATCTCTTTGACGCACTGATTTTGGTTCCTGTGGATATATTCCCAGGAGTGGGATTGCTAGATTGTGTGGTAGTCTGATTTTAAATGTTTTTTATATGGAGTATCAAATCTTTTATTGTTATCAGGTAATCAGTAAAACTTTAATTTTTTGAGGGGCCTCTTTACAGTTTTGCATAATGGCTGTACTAATTTACATTCTCCCAATAGTTTGTGAGAGTTCTGCTTGGGCTTTCTTACATAACATTCTCAGACAGTTCCCAGGTGATAGTGGAAGCTTCAGGGTCTCTCTGGAAGCTTAAGCCGAGACTTTTCCATCACTCCTATGAGGTGTTCATCAGCATAAGTCTTGAGGCCCAGGTCCCAAGGGTGCTCACATACATTGCATCTTGATGAAAGAGGTGCATAAACCTTTTGGTTGTTTGTGACTTGCTACACCCACTATTTCCTTTTCAGCACCATACTCCATCCTACCCACTGTTGATTTTCAAATTTCAGTGCCAAACCACTTCCATCTACTTTCTGACCTTGTATTTTGGTTCAGGGTTGTAGGTACTTCAGTTGTTTCATAGAATATGCAGTTTGTATTTCTTGTTCTTTATCCTGTTCATTGGTAATTTTAGAAGGAAGTGAGTGGAAATACCTTTACTTCTCCATCTAAAAACTTGAACCATTCTTTGTGAGCATGAATGAGAATCCATGGACAGGGTATTTGAGAGTAGTGTTCTTTTTCTAATTGTGATAGATTCTTTGACATAGTCCATTTGTTAGTCTTACTGATTTCATACATGTGCTAGGTAATTTCAGTTCTTGCCTGTCCTCAGTTTATAATCTTAGGACACAAGATGCTTTTATAGAATGTGACTAATTTTATCAGGCCTAAGGCTGTATGTAGGACCACATGTGGAATTAGTAATGTGGATATTATGTATATTAATTTCTAAGGAGAAAGGGTCCACTTTGGCTTGGTTGGCATATGTCATAAGGTGGGCTGGATTTTGAAAAGCAGAGGGTCCAGCCATGCTTAGTTGTGAGATAATGGCGCAGCTTACATAAAGGAATGGTGGTTGAATGAAAAAGGACAAGTTGTGTTTAGGTAGGAATAGAAACGTTCGTGGAGTATGGACTTTGCCATGTTCCTTCTGAATATGAATTGAAGGATTTTAAACATTTTTTAAAAGCACACAGTTGTGTTCCCCAAAAGCTGTTTGAAAGGGTTGGGACCTAGAAACAGAGTTGAAACTTTATTTCTGTAGTCTGTGTGCCAGAACCAGAGAGACTGCTGCATAGTGGCAGAGGGAATTGAAAGGCTGAAATGTGTGCAGTAGATTATTTTAAAGGAAAATGACAGATTTGGGGACCCCTTGATGTTGAGGATGCAGAGGCTCTGTTGGTAAACTTTGGCATCAGACCAGATAAGTGGTGGTGTCACAGACAGGCTTAGAGAAGTTTCGGAGAAGAATCTGTTTTAGGGGGAAAGATGATGAGGACATTTGTGTCTGTTGGGTTAGAAAAGATGTTGAGACTTGTGTGGAGATGTCAGAAACACTGTTAGAAATAAGCAGTTGGAATGAACATTGGAGAGTTTGTTTTATGGTTATGGTTAAATCATAAAAGTGGAAGAGGAGAAAATAGAAAGCAAAAGAAGATAAGACAGAATGCCAGGCCCAGTCTTGAGGGTACCAGTCAAGGAATGGATGGAGAAAGAGGTAAAAATTAGGCCCAAGATACTTGTATGTGTGCACATACCTGAATATGTAAACATTCACAACTAGTTAATGGCTTTGTTAGGTGTGTATTACAAAAGTATTGAGAATTTTAAAATGTGGAGATGAGGTTTTCTAATCAGGACCAGAGAAGTCATCAGTGCCACAGGTGAGGGCTTGGTCACATAATGGTGTTTTTATTGCTTCATCTCACAGAAGACTGGGTGATCCTTATTTATAGCAAGCTTGTGCAAATCGTTTCTTCCATCACAGAGTCCCAGCCATGCCTTCTTTAAAGCATTTTCAACTCCAGTAGGAAGATGACATTCCAGGCCACAGGATTCCAGATTGCAGTTAATCACATGCTGTAAAATGCTGTCTCTGTTTTCGGTGGTGGACTCTGTGGATTGTTACTCCCTTTCCCTGCCCTTTACCCCTCTGTGACCTCCTCTTATTTCACCTCCAGCTTCTGTTCTGAGACTTTCACTCTGAGAAAATGTTTAAGTACTTTATTACAATTGATCTAACTAAGATTTTATTGAACTTCTTTACCATTCTGAGCAAGTGATTGTTCTCTTAGGGGGCCGCTTTTTGTTTGAACTCAAAAAATCTTGTCCGAGGGTTTAGAAATTCAAAATTCTCTGTATTTAGTACCATGTATAATAGTAACTGAAAGTAAATCCAGAGACTTAATGTGGGGCAGGCCTTCCAAGAGTTTGTCGGTAGGTTAACAGTCAGACGTGAATTTGAGTCTGGACTTTGCTACTCGTTTGCTTTGTGAACTTGGGCAAGGTACTCAAACTCTAAGCTTCAGTTCCCCCTTTCTGAAGTAGGACTAACCATCATGCCAGCTTTCTAGAGTTGGGATGAGAATTAAATGAAGTGATTCAACTAGAGCTCAACAGCACAGTGCAGACCTTTGGTGAGCACTCAGTAAAAAGTTACTTATTGTCTTCATCCTCTTGGTCATTGTTACCAACACCTGACTTACATTACTGCTCTTCCTCCCCTTCAGCAGCTTATTGTAACGAGATGCTTGAGAATTACAGTGAGTAAGTCTAGGAGGGAGACCAGAAAGTAGCTCCTGGATACTTGGATTGGTTTTTTAATGTGGCACCAGGCCACTCAGAGTGGGTGTGGCACATGAGACCGTATTTTCAGTGTCCTAGAGCAGAGTGGGGCAGTACTCCAGGAAGCTCTTATCATTGTTCCTGTTTTAAACATAGAGGCCCCCGAAGTTGTAATGCGTTTGGCTTTGAGGATACCACCCTTTCATGCAGCACATGCTGAAGAGAGTGCTTTCCACATTCCAGATATGTGGACACTGAGTCTACATAGATGAATGAGATATGGTTTCTGCCCTCAAAGATGGAGAGAGTCATTCAAATACAATAAAAGGGTTTCATCTGAGGACCTATGCCTTTCCAGTGGATAAAGGAGCAGGTTGGCTACCACTGAACTGTGAAAACTCATTGTCTGACTTAGGCAGAGAGTAGCATATTATGAACACAAAGCCACTTGGGAGCATGTGTTCTGGTGACAGTGCTTTTAGCACAACGGAGCTCCCTGTGTCCACATGGAAAGCAGTGTTGCTTTCATATATTTCCCAGGCAGGTCCTGGACAGTCTCAATTATTTGAACCCGGACCTTTCCATATAAATCAGGATGTCCTTTATAAGTGTTAAGATGTTGACAAATAATGAAAGAATGAGGTTGTGACTTTTTTTTTGTTTTTTTGTTTTTGGTACCGGGGATCAAACTCGAGACCTTGTGCTTGCGAGGCAGGCGGCAGAACCACTGAGCTAAATCCCCAGCCCAAGAGGTTGTGACCTGGTAATAAGGTCCTGAGTTCTATCCCTGGTACCACACACACAAAAAAAGAGATGATGTTGAACTTTTTAACAAACCACTTACAAATAATAACCAGATATAATTCTTGTTCCTAAATTAAATGTGATAGCTGAGCAATTTTGGGGACAAGAACATTTAGCACAGTACTTTTAGCTATGGTCTGACTTTAGGCTATTAATACCGAGACTTTCAATGTTTTTATGATCAGACTTGTGGGTGAGATCAATGTTGGTTCCCTTTCTGTATATCACACATAGACTTCTGAGCAGGGGTCCTGCTTGATTACTGGCTGTTTCTGAGCTTGTGTGGCTTTTTTTTGTTTTTTTCTTTTAATTTTAATTTTAATTTTAATTTTTTATTAAATTCTTTTATTGGTACATTGTAGGTATACAACACAATTATATTTCTCATTGGGAATTGTACCTTTACATGATGCATCTTGGTTCTTATTTTTTCCCCCTTCCTAGCCCTCCCTTCACCCCCTCCATCCTTCCCTGTTTACAAAGACTTTATTTCCATTTTTTCTATTTCTCATCAGTTTTCCTTTCCCTTCTTTCCTTTCCCCTGCCCCTCCCACTACCCCTACCCCTTTGGACCTTTTCTTCCTATTTTGCATTATCGATTATTCATTCTAATCATTGGTACATTTTAGGTATACAATATCATCATATTCATCATTGGAAATATGCACCTTTACATAGTCTCTCTTGGTTCTTATTTTTCATCCTTGCCCAGCCCTCCCTTCAACCCCTCCATTCCTCCCTATTTACAAAGATTTTGTTCCTATTTTTCCATTTTCTCATATTAATCCCATTCCCTTCTATCCTTTCCCCTAGCCTTCCCACTTCCTTTCCCTTTGCCCCTTTTCTTCCTATTTCACATTACCTATTATACATTTAGTCCTTATTTACACTTTCAGTTTCTCACACTAGAGAAACTATTTGGTATTTATACATGTGTGTCCTATTTATTTCACTTAAGAGTATCGCCTCAGTGTGCATCCACTTAGGTATAATTGTGTGGCTTTGTTATTTGAATGTGGATGGACATATTATATAAACCTGGCAGCACTCTTTGTGAAGTAAATTGAAACAAGCATTTCTTTCTTTTTTTTTTTTTCCTACAGGGGATTGAACTCAGGACCTTGTGCTTGCGGGGCAGGCACAGTGCCACTTAGCTAAATCCCCAGCCCGCATTTTCTAGTAAGCTTCAACTTAGTCCATGTCCTGTTGATAATAGTAATCCATCATTAGCTTGGGGATGTGTGGTAACTAGTGTTTATGCTTTCTGTAGTTACTCAAATCATAAAATGTTTGCTTGTAATTGATAGACTGAGCATTTCAGAATCTTCTGTGGAAATAATATGTGATTTCCATGATGGCCACTCTCAGCTGTGTGTCTTCTATACACAGGGAGGCTCATGCATCTGTATGCGGTGTGTGTGGACTGCCTAGAAGGAGTTCACAAGATCATCTGCATCAAGTGCAAATCACGATGGGATGGCAGCTGGCATCAGCTGGGCACAATGTATACCTATGACATCCTGGCCGCCTCTCCCTGTTGTCAGGTTGGTATTAACTCCATCACAGGAGCGCAGTGTGTGATATTGGGCTTCTGTCCCCAAATAAATATATAGGAATTAGAGGCTGCTTCATACTTATTTGAAAGAGGTGTGAGAACTTGCATAAGATGCTTCTGAGAATCAAGAAGAAACTCAGGGAGACCCCTGAACTCCGGCAGTAATTCCTGAGTTACTAAATTGTAACTATGGAATTGGAATGCTATGCAGTTATTACAAGGGATATTGTAAGATAATTTATCATTATATGTGGAGTATTTTCCATCTGTTAAGTAAAATGGCACCATACCATACTTCCATTTGTAAATAAATGAGCATGCAAAGGGTTCACTAATCTATTAACAGTTGGCTTAGATGGCGAGGGTGGCAGGATGCTGAGTAGTTCATATAGTTTTCTTTTGGCTTGCATATGTTACCTCATATTTTGTATGATTAACATACTCAATTTCTAATAAAAAGTTACGACTTAAAGTAGAAAGTTTTACTTTTTTAATATTCAGAATTTTCTTTTTTCTTTCTGTACCATAGTGCCAGTTTCATCAGCTGAAATTCGGATAATACTACCCACTTTACAGGAATGTTTTGAAGACATTGAGATATACATTGTTAGTACGTTTTCAGAAGGAATTTAAATTGAGTGTTTATTTATAATTTCTTTATATTCACTTCATTCTTGAACCTGTTCCTTGAAAGGCTATAGAATTATACTGTGAGAAAGAACCTGGCATGAAGGAAGATAATGTGCTAAGTGGGGTTCAGAAGCCTCAGGATAAACACAGTGTTTCTGCCTGGATTGCCAGTTTTACTTTAGTATTTTAAGGAAATTTTACTTTTTTTTTTTTTAATGGTACCAGGGTATCGAACTCGGGTCCTTGCGCTTGTGAGGCAGGCGGCGGAACCACTGAGCTAAATCCCCGGCCCAGGAAATTTTACTTTTACATTAAAGAAAACATTGTCATGTAGAGTAAGATGAAAATGTATATGAGACTTTTTGAAATAAACTGTGAATCTTCAAAGAAGTATCATGCAGGTGTGGGTGGGGGAAGCCAGCTTCAACTATTCTCTTAAAAGCCAGAGTTGCAGGTGGTCTGTTGTTGAGGGAACTTTGGTGGCAAGGTTTAGGAGGTACTAGGTTAGAAGTGGCAAGACTAGCATTCCCTCTACCAAGAGAGAAATTGGAGTCATTAATCTTGCAGACTGATGCGGGTGACTGTTGGAATATATACCTTAGGCTTTGCATGCCCTGTTTTGGGTAATAAAGGGGATGATTGACTAAACTGTCAAGCAGCTTCGCAGCCTTTTGGCTTGGATGCCTTTGACAAGTGTTGTAGAACCAAAGTAGTGGCTCATAGTATCTGTTTCTCCTAGGCCCGCCTGAACTGCAAGCACTGTGGAAAGCCTGTGATTGACGTGCGGATTGGGATGCAGTACTTCTCTGAGTACAGCAATGTCCAGCAGTGTCCACACTGTGGGAACCTGGACTACCATTTTGTGAAGCCATTCTCCTCCTTCAAAGTTCTTGAAGCTTATTGATGAAAGCTTTGCTTTAGTAATAGCTATTTTATTGATATTATTACTTTATTACATATCTTTTATAGAGAAACATTCTGTGACATTAATTTCTTTTCTAATTTAAAGCAGAGTTACTTTGTATCTGTATGCCACTAAGATGGGGCTGCCCTTTCCCCTGTCTTGATTCCCCAGTGTTAGTCTGTGATCAGGACCAGAGCCAGGTGGGTGACCGTGTGAGTGTGGGTATGGTTTATTCTCACCAGGAGTCTCTGATACAGCTTTAAAGTGGTGGGGAGGATGGGATGAATGTAGGAAAGGGAGGGATTATGTGGCTATGAACTAAAAGCATGGGAGGAGTAGAGAGGGAGCGCCTAGTAAAGTTAACTTTCTGAAGACCCACTTCTAGATCTTCCATGGGCCTTAGGCAAAATACATGACAATTGAATGTAAGTCTGAGCCTGGAAAGCTAATAGGGTATTAGTCTGTCTTGGCTTAGTATTCTGCAGCACACATTGACATGCAGTTTACACTCATGGATGATTGGAAAGTGGACATGAGTACTCTTACTTTCACTGTTGTAATTTAAGTCAGTTTTCATACTGAAAATAATATCCAAATTAGAAAACCTGAAAGCTACTGGTGTTGCAAACATTTTTAGCTAAATTGACCTGTAGCAGAATATGTGAAATAAATTTGGAAGTGATGCACTCTGAACTGAGAGGGCAAAAAGGCAGAACTCTGTCATTTGAGTTCTCTGAAGGTGGTCAGAGTAGCTCTTAAGGAAAATCCATGCAGAGTGATTTAGGGGTGACAATGTCTATGGATTGCACTTTGGAAGCGCTGTTTGGTATCATATCCTTCCCACAGGTAATCTCACAGCCATAGAACCTAACTGGTGAGCTTCAGAACCAGTCATGCCACACTTTGGCTTCCCCATAATGCCTTATAGCCACGTCTAACCCGTTTAATACTGAGTTTCCAAAATCAGTTGAGCTTAGGAGGGAAAGGGAAGAATTGTTTGAGAGAACGATGAAGAAAAGAATAATTTTAGCACTTCTTTTTAAAGTATGTGTCATTTTGGAAAATCACTGTTGTAATGCTTAATAGTATGCGTGAAAAATCAGTCATCTTAAAGATCCTCGTGATACTTTGTTGTTGGCAAAAGAAAAGATCACTTACAGAACTTCTTTAGAGGATTGAGCATTCTAAAATACTGCCTTCTAATCATTGGACTGTACTACATTGATACCCCATACTTTTGTCAAATTGGAATAAGATTTTCACAAATGAATTTGACAATTTCAAGTGTGATATATGTATATGCTAAAAGATTACTAAAAATCATTCTGTGAATAGCCAAATTTGGCATTGATATGAATATTTTATATTACTCATTTGGCTTATAACTTGTTTCTCAGTATAACTTTTCTTTTAAGGCATTATTGTACTTGAGTTTCATTTTTACTATGTGAGATATTTTATGTTATGTTTGGAACAACATAGCATTGAAAAAACAATGCATCAACTAATATTCTTCACCTTTCACTTTGGATGATTGTTATTTGGTTTGCTGCAGCTGATTTGGTATTTGATCTGAAAAATATTCCACAGTGAAGGGGGAGCTCAGAATGCCTATGTGAAACAGGAAATCATTACTGGTCAGACAGCGTTTAATGCAACTACAAGAGGTCTATAGAATATAGCCCTTGGAAGTTTGTCATTGAAACACAGAGCTGTAATTGTGAATTAACAATTTCCCTATTGATTCTCTTATGTACCCAAGCTTATGAACTGGTAAGTTTCTTTTGTTTTCAGAGAACCATTTGGATTTTATTTCTGAATTTAATATTAGTAGTAAAATATTTGTAATGTTGTTCTTCAACCCACCTACATATTTCTAGTGAAACCTGCTTATTGTTCAGAAGCTTAAAGTTGACCTATACATTGCATTTAGCAAGCTCTTCAGTGTAAAATCACTGTGGGTTTAATGTATGCTGCATTCCATATTTTTTCCTTAGATTGTTTTCTACCCCCTTGAAAAGTAAGTATGGTGAGGTTTCTCTATCATTGAGTAAAATTTGCTTTTGGGTGTTATTTTGATGATACAGTGAAGATTCTATAGATATATACAGTTATATAAAAAGAGTCATGAGTATCATACTCAAAATCTTGACTTTAAGGCATTACATTTTTATCTAAAAGGGACAGTTTGGCTAATTTGAGAATAAAATACAATTAAATATGCAACACTATAAAGATAAAGTGCCGACCTTCATATTTTCTCCAAGCTTGCCCCGAGCACCTTGATCATAATTGAAATTTGTCAAGAAAGATTATTATTTTTGTTGTAGTTAGGATATTAAAGAATATCAGTCATCCAGGAGATTCAGTTTCTGTTTTTCTGATGAATAGTGTTCAATAACATGAAGCAATCTTACGAGTGACTAATAATTTCGTTGGTTTTTCATCTACTCTAACATTATTTAGTCACTTATTTGTATGAGTTCCATGCCTTGAACAAATAAAATTACCTGCTGTAGTGTGGAGAGAAGACAGTTTATGATAGATCATTTTTTTCTTTAGGCCATCTCAGATCTCTCACTTTTTTTGGTTACATCTGAAGCATGGATATACTATGTTTATACCTTTAAACACACACATTGTGCCATGAAATTGAGAGGTGGTTCACTTGTCCTGTTACATTTACAAAGGAGCTTCCCCAAACATTAAATTTCAGTTTTTATAAGAGAATATTTTCAGAATAAAATAAATTTTCATATTTGTTTGGCAAAATTTAGCTCATTAAGAAAAAAACATTATTAGGTGTTTAAATGATGAAACTAACAAAACTAATATGCTAAAATCTTTTCATTTGGTACTGCCAGACCAGTGCTTAACTATGCAGTCTATTCTCTTGTGCCCAGGTTAGTAACCCCAATTTGCTTTTCTGTTTAGTCTCCTGAGTAATTTTAGTTGGAGGTTGGAGAAGAGGTGAGAAGAAAGTGCCCTTTAGTGTTTTGGTTCTTACATAGGATGCTGCCTAACCAAGATCATTTCCATGTCCTATTGACTTTATTGTTATTCCAGGTGATAGAAAATAAAATGGACGGGCACCATTAAAACCAGCTCAAAAATATATTGTTATTGGTAAAGATTTCTTGTTAAGATGTCTTGGATTGCACTTTTTTTGAGGGAAGACAGTGTAAATAGTTGAAGAATGTTGATAAAATCGAAACATTTGGTTATGGAATTATGTGTGGGGTTAGAGGCTTTCTGTTTGTGAAATGTGTGTATTAAAAATAAAGTTTCAGAAGCTAACATTGTGTTCTCTTTAGCATGTTACTATTTTTTGAGAGATGGGATTGTCTTGATGGTAGAGAAGTAGAGATATTTGAGATTTTAAATGCTATTCAGAAAACTCTTTGACCGTCACTGTTGCAGCTAATCAAAACTGTAATCTGTGCTGCTTGCAAGTCGTGTATCACATGTAAATTTACTGTGCAACAAAACAAGCATTCTCCCCTATGACAAATCTCCTCCCATAGCTAGTCCGAAATCAGTATTGTCTATTGACTAGTGAGTGTTATAGAGAAAAATGGAGGCCACAGTTTTGATATACCCAGAGCCAAACACTCATAGACACATTGCCAAAACTTAAGTCATCTTGATTTCCCCCAAATTCCAACCATAATAAATGAAACACAAAATAAGAGCTTTATGTCCTTGTCAGTATGGTGCCTTGAAATTAAAATGATCAGCATAGATTAATAAGCTTAAAGTATTCTGCTTGCTTTAACAAGAATGTTAGTGTATAACAAGCAAAACAGAGGACAATACTTCTTTATGCTTTAAAAAGGGTACTGTTGCTGTTTTTTTGGGTTTTTTTGTGTTTTTTTTTTTAGGTACTGAGGATCGAACTGGGGTCCTTGCCCTACTGTTGCTGTTTTGAGCAGCCTTCCTCACAAGTTTAGTTTGAGGTCTCCCAGTTTGCCAGCTGTTCTTTTGTATGTGTGATAAGCTTCTACAATGGGGAGGATGTTGAGTGGACCCAGGGCCCTTTCACTGAAGTTACATCCATAGCCTTTTTATTTTTATTTTTGAGACATTGTCTCACTAAGTCACTAAATTTCCTATAGTCTTCCTGCCTCAGCCAACCAGAGTACTGGGATTACAGGTCTGTACCACTAGGCCACCTTGATCTAATTTTAATAATAGATAACCTTATTCTACAAATAATTTTCTTTGATTCTTAGGCATGTAACGGTATTCATAATGAAACAAGTAGATTGTATGCATCTTTGTTATTAAAAGCTTAGGAATTGAGTAATAAGTTTCTTATGTCTTTAATGCCATGTTACCAAGTACATTGTTTATCTTTCTGATCTCTGGCCCCTTAATTTCACTATCATTTCAGCCAATGAACTGAAATCTGCAGCAGTATTAGAATATAGGACAAGATGTGGCAGCAAGAGTAAGAGTCTTCAGTCTGCCAGTAAATTCATAACCTGTGTTGTCATTTATTGATGGCATCTAAGGCATGAATTTTAGTTTTGTTCAAAGGCTTAAGGAGGACTTGGGATATTGTGATTTCTATTAATGTAACTCTACATCACCAACATTTTACTACTTTAAGGAAAGTACAGTTCTTACTGAAGTAAGGAGGCAAAGTTAAGTGAAGAATTAAGTTTTAATGGGAAAAAATTGTTGTTCTTAGTGGTTTCCACTTTAAATCTTGCTTATATTATTTTGACTTAAATTTAGCAGCAATTAGACTTAATTACGTAGCATTTTAGTACAGGGTTAAATTTGGGGATGAAGAAAAAGGTGTCTCTTGAGCTTTCATTCTTTTCCTATTCTTAGATCACTACACTAGGAGCCTGATGAGTGTGAAATGTCTTTGAAGGTAGGTTCTGTGCAGATGATAGATGTAATATTTGAAATAAGAATGTATCTTAAGGTATATTTTTCTTCTAGTGGGAACTTTTAGCATTATGGTAATTATATAAGCTGGGTCAGCCATTGGTAACCTTGAGAGTCAATAAAAATGAAAGCAAAGCACTTTGTCTCATGCATAAATTCCAGAGAACAGCACTGATTACATTATCTACATTCACATGGAACTGGTCCATAGCCCCATTTCTTGGTGATGGATGCCGTGCCATTGAGGCTGATACACTTGATTCAAATTAAACTTAAAGTCAAGTTTAGAACTGTCTAATTGCATTTCTAATAAACTTGGTTACTGTGGAAGTAGAAAAGTCATAGACATAACCATGATAGAACTTACAGACGTCAGAATTTATACTCATATAACAAAGTTTGTTAAACTGCCTTGACTCAGCCAGACATGGTGGCACACACCTATAATACCAGCACTCAGGAAGCTGAGGCAGGAGGATTGAGGCCAGCCTGGCCTACATAGTTCAAGACCACCTGAACTACATTGTGAGACCCTGTCTCAAAAAAATTTTTTTTGCATTGACTCTTGTACTTACTTTAGGGCTAAACTGAGGCCCAGAGAACTGAAATCTTAAGTTAGTTTGTGTAATTAATGGCTGGGTAGAAATTAAATGTGGATTCTCTATCCTATTGTTCAAAATGAGATCTTGGTAAATACTCTGCTAATTACCATGGCATAACGATAGAGTGACCATTAGCTTTCTTTATTTTTTTCTGTTATTATTTGCCTATAGACTACCTTTAAACTACTGATTATTAGATTTAGTCAGTAGATGCCTGAAAAGATCTTTAATAACCTGTTTGTTTTTTGTTTCTTTCATTTTGTGTTTACTGATTTCATTTTCTGATATAAAGAGCAACAAATCTGGGGGCCTAGGTTAATAGATCTATTTGCTGTAAATGGAAGGAAATGTCAGTTACAGGCACATAAACACTTAGTAGATAGGTAAATAAGAATCTATTTAACTTGTGAACCATACGGATTTTGGGGGCAGGGTGTCATATATATATAACACAGAGAAGTGTCTGGGACCTCTATGGAGCAGTGACTTCCCCGAAGTGACAGAGATAAGCCTTGTTAGGGAGCATACAGGTAATGGTAAATACATTCTTTACATATGTCAGTGGATGAGCACTTTGAGTTGAGAATTTGGGTTTTGACACGGAAGCAGATTTAGAAGGTATAGTAGCCCTTAGAAACAAAATAGAAGTGATTCTGAGAGGCCTTACTAGGCCCTTTGTGTAAGGGAGAGGAATATTATCTTAGTCCATTTGGTTGCCATAACAATAACAGGGTGGTTAATTTGTAGACAATAGAAATTTCTCAGAATTTTAGAGCGTGGGAAGTACAAAGTCAAGGTGAGGACATCTAGTGAGGATCTTACTGGGTTGCATCCTTGCCTGGCAAAAGAGTAGAAAGTGAACCCATTTCTGCAAGGCTTTTTTGAGAGGGGCATTAACCCATTAGGGTCACCTCCCAGGAAGTGCCGCCTCCCTGCCATGCTGTGCTGGGGAGACACTTAGACGGTGCCAAGGATATTTGAAAGCATCCTCTATTTTTAGAGAAAGGAAAGGCAGGACTCTTTTCTAAAAGGAAAAAAAATACTATTTTAAATCATACTTGTGTTTTACCTCATTTTTCATGTGTTTGTTAACATCTCTTTCCATTTGTTAAGATAGGTTATTGTTTGAGGAGAACTATCTGTAAGGAGACATTTTAATGGTCCACACTAAAATTTAATAAATTTTATTCACTTCGGGAGCTAACCTTGAAGTACTTTTGGATTCAAATGTGACAAGCTGTTGGATTTGATAGCATTGATTTATCCAGTTTTGGCACGGTTTTCCTTTTTTACTAACTTTTCAAGCAGGTTTTCCAGGTGTGTTCCATTTTCAGTTTTTCATGATCTTGTCTGAAGTGCTGGTACCCTAGACTTTTGGAGGTTGCTATACTTGGTTACTTTATTCGAATTCCATGCAGCCCTAGGGGAAGTATTGGCCCATGCCCTACAGCATGATAATCCACATTACTGCAAATCAAGGGTTGCAGTCAGTTCTCCACATTTCCTTGTTATTTTCATCACATTAACAAATCACGTTTATCTAAAGCTCTGCCGACGCTGCCAGTGATTAGTGAGGGGAGTATTGCCAGGTGAAGCTGATAGGCTACTATTTCTGGTGCTTCAGACCTCGTGGTTGTAAAACGGAGAGCAATTTGAGCAGAGTGAGATGGTAGGAATCCTGAGCCTACTGTGAATATTTCAGAAAGCCTGGTGGAAATCATGTTACCACAAGGCTGCACAGAATATCTTTTTTTTTTTTTTCCTGCACAGAATATCTTGAAGGTCAGTTTACTTTTGGCAAGAATTATAGCAACCACGGTTGTGTTGTGTTGCTTAGAAACTGGCAGCAGCGTGTTCTTTTGATGGATAGTATATGAGAACACAAGTTACTTCTCAGAAGTGCTGTCTGTAGACATAATCCTGCAAAACATAAGATAGGGTCATAGTAGATTCAGGGTGGTCTTTGTTGATGAGCTGGGTAAGTGCCATTAAAAAAAACTTCCACTTTTTCTAGTCCTTTTCTTCCACGTACTATGATAATTTCACTTTATCTTTTTCCCTTGTACTATCTCTTTCCCACCTTGTACTTTTTCCTGCCTTTCCTGTTGCACCAACTTCCTTAACCACTGGGATGCAGTAAAAGCCCCCTGACAAAAGCTGATGTGAATTGCTCAATAAATGTTTAAAATTCGTTGAAAAATGATACCTACTCTGTGTAAAAATGGTCAAGCTGATCAGTAGAATAGAGATCAGAAATAGATCCACATAGGGCCAGGGATTTAGCTCAGTGGTGCCACCTGCCTCACAAGCGCAAGGTCCTGAGTTTGATCCTCGGTACCAAAAAAAAAAAAAAAAAAGAAATAGACCCACACATACATACATGGTCAGTTGATTTTTAACAAAAGTACATAGAGACTTTAGTGACTAAAGGCTGATTTGACAGATGGAGCTGGAACAGTTTGCTAGCTATGTGTAAAAAATTTACAAAGCAATCAAACCTGGATCGATACACCATACCATCCCCCAAATTAATCACAAATGTAAAATTCAAAAAAATAGGGGATTCTGTTGAAATTAAGAAGTTCTCAAAAGAATACTACCAATAAAAAGACAAATCACTTACTGGAAGAAAAGGAGTTGGTCTAGAATATGCAAAGAACTGCCAAAATGTGTTATTACTAAGACCAAATGACCCACTTAAAAGGCAGGGGCAGGCCAGGGATTTAGCTCAGTGGTGCAACCACCTGCCTCGAAAGTGCAAGGTCCTGAGTTTGATCCCTGGTACCAAAAAAAAAA